ACCGGCCACTGTATCCGCCACAGCGCACGCCCGACTGTTCGTCGTTTGCTTCCTGTCTTTCCCTGGCACAGGAGCCCGCAAACCCTTTCTGTAAAGTTCCAAACAGAAGACACTTCAGGCTCTGCCGACCACACGGTCCCGTCTCAACCGCAGAGCCAGCCGTGGTGTCGCAGGAAGCCCTGGGCATGGCCGGGCTCCAACACAGGTTTACCTGCAAGCGGGGGCAGCAGGCGGGAGTGGGCCGGGCCACAGTCGGCCAGCGCCTGCCCCTCGACGACTGAGCTGCGAACAGAGCTATTTTAACAGAGAGCACGTGAGCTCCATGAAGGTCTGAATATTTTTCCTTTTTTAAAAAAAAACAAAACAGCCCGGCCGGGCGTGGCTCAGAGGTTGAGCGTCAACCTAGGATCCAGGCGATCAGGGTTCGATTCCCGGTCAGGGCACATGCCCGGGTTGTGGGCTCGATCAATGACTCTCTCATCATTGATGTTTCTGTCTCTCTCTCTTCCTCTCTCTGAAATCAATAAAGATATAAAAAAAATTTTTTTTAAAAATAAAAATAAACAAAACATTTTTATTGATTGTAAGGAGGGGAAGGGAGAGAGAGACATCAGTGATGAGAGAGGAACATCACTGGCTGCCCCCTGCACGCCCTCTCCGGGCACGTGCCCTGACCGGGACTCGAACCAGAGCTCCTGGCTCACGGGCCGGCGCTCAACCACGGAGCCAGGCCGCCGGGCTGACCGCTTTTCCTCTCTGGCTGTTCTGTTGACTGCTGTGCACTTAGTCCCGAGACTACTGTCTGACATACAGGAAACAATAAAAATGGAATGAACAAATGAAATGGACTCAGTGGTTAATGAAAGCCAGGTGGTACTGGTCATCACACAGATCAATGGGACAGAAACAGCACTGAAACACAGGGTAGCTGAGTTTATGCAGAGATGACACCGCAGATCAGAGGGACAAACGTGATTCTTCGACAACTGGCCCTGGGACAACTGGCCACCTGGGGGAAAAGAAGGTCGGGTCCCTGCTCAGGCCAAAATCGGTTCCAAGAAGATCAAAGCTTATAAATGTTATAACTAAAATCATAAAAAAATTAAAAAAATAAACCATGAGTCCATTTTCCTATTCTTTCAGAGAAAAAAGCCTTTCTAAGTAAAACACAAAAGCTATCAAAGAAAAGAATGATAAACCACATAAGAAATCTCTATAGAGCCCGGCCGGGCGTGGCTCAGAGGGTGAGCGTCGACCTAGGATCCAGGCGATCAGGGTTCGATTCCCGGTCAGGGCTTGTGCCGGGTTTTGGGCTCGATCCCCAGCAGGGGGCGTGCGGGAGGCAGCCGGTCAATGGCTCTCATCATTGATGTTTCTGTCTCTCTCTCCCTCTCCCTTCCTCTCTCTGAAATCAATACAGATATATTTAAAAAAAAAAAAAAAAAAAAA